GGCAAAAATGCTAGCAGAAGCAACAAAAGGACCAGTGTAGACTCCCTTTTGCTCTCTGCTCTAGTCACTGCATACTAGTGTTTCCTACTTTCCTACCAGGATGGCTTTGTGTTAGCTGGAGTGGGTCTTGGCACTATATCCAAAGTGGCTTCAGTGCTGTGGATTGAGTGAGTGTGTGCATGCATGTGTGTATGTGTATGTTTGTCTGTATGTATACCATGATACCTTGTCTCTGACATTCAGCTGTCTGCAGCAAAATATATTGCACTAGAAGAAAAAAAATGAGGGTAGAGTGGTCAGGATGTAGAAAGAAACCATTAGTAGTGGTTAGCAGCATACTCTAATCTCAGCTGTATTCTTCTTTACATGATCTAAATGAAAGATGACAGAATGAAGAGAAAATACAGGAGACTTGAGGACCTCTCACTTATCATGTGAGAAAGAATAGTTAAATGTTTTGCCTCTAGCACTCTACCTTCAAAGATATTGAAATGCCCTTTTTAAAAAGTTGACAGTATTTGTTCATGTTGGGTTCATATTTTAAGCCATAAGCTTCAGCTTCTTAAGACTGGTATATGTTTGCTTGTTTGAAATAGTCAAGATAAACAAATTGACACTATTTTGGCTACAAGAAATGTATTGCCATTATTATGAAGTAATTGAGAATTTACTGAAACCTTTTTTTAGGTATTGTCCTTCCTGCAAAAATGATTCTAATGAAGTTGTAAAGGCTGGAGAAAAGCTCAAACAGAGTAAAAAGAAAGCAAAGATGCCATCTGCCAGTACTGAAAGCCAGAGAGACTGGGGCAAGGTAGAGTGTATTTTAGAAATAGCTCTTACTCTGATTGTTCATGTATGTGCTGCATCTATAATTCTACTTATATACGCACTACACAAAATTCAGTACTGGGTTGCACAGACAATAAGACAATAAGACAACCTGCCCATTATCTACTGGCAGTTAAAACAGTGGAAGAATTATTAAGGTGACTAGAGGTAAAAACAAACCAAAAAACCCCAACCCCTGATCCCTCCCCCAAACCCATAAACACACATTACCTAATTAATGTTCCTTTTAACAAGTGTTGGCATAGTTTAAAGTATGTGTTTGTTACAATGATTAGATTTCTTGATACCTGCATTGAATTTGCAAATAGTCTTCAATATTATAATACTGTTTTTGTCTGATGTATTTTTAGGGCATGGCCTGTGTTGGTCGCACTAAGGAATGCACTATTGTTCCTTCAAATCATTATGGACCTATACCTGGTGTTCCTGTTGGGACAACCTGGAAATTCAGAGTTCAGGTATGTTTTTTCAGTGTTAGCTGTAGTTCAAGTAAGTAAGAATAATAATGAATGGGTTGGGCAATAAAATAAATTTAAATTGACAACTGTAATTTTCATCAGGACTAAATAAAAAGCAAATACATTATGATTCTGATATTGGAAGTGATGCCAATAGTGGTGAAGGATGAATTTATTTTACATTATTTGTTAGGATATCAAATTTCACACATTAAAATTCTAAGTGGGATACTTACTGAACAGTCAAGTGTTTCCTGAAGTGTATGTACTTCATGTGAAATGATTAACCCACTCTGGAGACGCAGACTGTAGGTTTTGAAAATGTTAGATTCCACTGTAGTTTGACTCCCTGTTAGTTTTTTTGATCATACATAACCGTTATCCAAATCTTCTTTTTGGCTGATGAACATCTTTAACCAGCGTTAGCCTGTACTGCTATTAAAATTAGCTGCCCACTCAGCCTTTACCATTTCTTGCACCATCTCATTTTGCCTTGCAGATATGTCTTGGGCTCTGTGGTAAACTAGATTGGTAAAATATCTGGCAGAAAAATAATCCCATTTGGCAGAGGAGGGGAGCTAATTTTCTCAGTCCATTTCGTATTTTACATATATAAGCACAGTGCCAATACTCAGAGCGGCAGGAAAAAAACAAAACAGGACGGATGGGACAGCTTCATTTTGTGCTAGTACTGAGGGTTTTTTTTGTAGTTTCAAAGTGCCCAGCAAACAAAAAAGAAGTTCTTTTACCCCAAGTCTTATCTGATAGCACTGATTTTGACTTATTTTTGATTTTTTTATTGTTGTTTTTAGTTAAGGAAATACATAATTCTTTATTTTCAAAATCACTTTGTCTCGTGCATGTGTAAAGAAATGGGATTGAATGTTTTCCATTACATTTGGAAGAACAGAAATAGGGTGTTTTAAACTACGTGAGGAGGGGCAAGCCAAAGATTAAGACTCCTCTGATTTGTGTTCCGAACTTCTCATCACCTGCTTTCTCATGGGAAGAAAACAGACATTTTATTATTAAATTGGTGGAAGAGAACATTTAGCAGGCAGTTTTCATCTGATGCTTGTGTCTTCCAGTACTGTGTGAAGAATTCTGGATTCAGAAGGCTATGCAGGTTTTAAGGCTGATACGGGTAGCAGCAGACATTTTCCCATGACTTTCTCACCTTAGTAGAAATGACAGTGAAGCAGTTGAAACCTAAGCTAGTTAATTTGATCCTTTCTCACCTTGGTGTGTATCATCAACACTACCATCAAAATACACCTTAGATGAATCAAATTGAATTTGCGTTATAAAATTATGCTGTTCATCAGCGGTTTTATATAAAATAATTTGCTGACGAGGAAAATTCACTTGATTCTTTGGGATACTTCTTTGATCTCTCCTGTGTTTCAAGAACATTTTTGTGAAAGGAATTAAAATAGTTATCTTTTTGTAGGCTTCCAGATTAAGTAAAGCCTCATAAGTAAGAGATGTTTCTAAAATCACTTGTGCAAAGTCAAAATCATGTTTTATTTTCACTGCTTCAACAATAATTGAAATTACTGGTTCACCTAGTTTTGTTAGGAATTCCATTGGTAACACAAAAGCATAAGTTTTCTAGTGCTGGTAGGAAAAAGGAACAGAATTAGAGCATTGCATTTGTCTGAAAATTAAGCAGTAAATGCTAGTTGTTACATGTATGTGTGGACTAGACATCAAAAGGCAGTTACCATTTCTACATAATAATTTTGGGTACAAATTTAAATACTTTGGTTTTTTTTAATATTGAAATGTTTTCTACATGGAAGGTTAAGTTACACTTTTGTTTCTCATATGACTAGTCTTTAGTATGAGAAATGAGTTTGTCTCAGCAGATCTATGAGAATTTAGAGACTGTAGTTTCTTTATTACTGATTTGCGTAGTTTTTTTTTTTATGACACAAACTCTCTTTTCCCTAGAAGGAAATTGACTAAGTATTGCTTCTGGAGAGAGCATCTGAAGAGCATCTTTGGCATGAATTACTTACCAGAGTTCATCTTTGGGGCGAATCACCTACCAGAAACCTAAATTTAATTGTTAAAACCTGGAAATGAAAGAAGGGAGGGAGGAATGAATGGATGTTTGATACAGCAGGAAAGAGGAGCGCAATAGTGGGGCCATTTTATTCAGCATACTCATAAATGTTCTGGTAAAACTGGGAAATAGCTGATAAAGTTACATGAGAGTGATGAGTTGTGGATAGTAAATGTGGGGTGGGGAACAGTTCTAACTGTATTATTTGGAATTAGCTTTCAGCTACTTCTTGTTATTTAGGAAAGAGATTTTCCAGTAGCTAATTTGGAAAATATGTCATCTGATTACTCATAGTGATCAAAAAAACCAAGTGTTAACATAATTGTGAAAAGAAAGGTCATGAAAATAAAATATATTATTACAAACAACAGTCAGGATGATTAAAGGAGTGGGGCAGTTTTCATTCAGCTGGCAAGACTTCTCATTCTGGAAGAATGTGGTAGTGTAGATAGCTACAAAATCACGTACAGTATGAAAAAAGTGATTAGGGACTGATATATATATATATACTTTCGTAATGTAAAAAGGGATCATCAAAAAAAAAATACCAGCTGCAGACTTCAAAATGAACAAAAGTGGTAAACAAGTTAATATGAGAAAAGGTACTACTGTGACTCTGCTCTCTCTTGGATGCTATGAATCCAAAAGTTTTAAGTAGTTTAGGAAGTCTGAGCTACAGACAGCTGGATGCTGAGAAATTCTGCAAGGAAATATCATTGTGTTCTTGCATAGTTTTCATACTGTCCGCAACTCATGTCTGTTGTTAGAGACAGCATTTTTGTCCCGCTGGACCTTTCATCTGATGTACTGTATTATGAAAGTATAAGACTATAGCAGAACAATGTAAACTTTCATGGAGGCTGCTTAAAAGTATAGATTGGGAAAAGAAGTTCAGGATTAGGAGAGGCAGAATGAGAACAGGCAAAGTCAAGGTCTGGATTAAGATGATAGAATCCTTTAGGTTGGAAAAGACCATTAAGATCATGAAGTCCAATTGTTAACACTGCCAAATCCACCACTAAACCATGTCCCTGA